CAGCTTGTGCACATAACACTGAAGTTTAGCACTATAGGCACGAGCTGGAACAAACCCAAGCATTAAGTGCAAACCAACTCATTCAACATGCATTAGTATTAAATCATATTCTGCTTAATAAATTTACATTCAAACATACAGAAAGTTGAGCGTATCAGCATCTAGTCCCCTCATACATGCATTGTACAACTACATGTACACATACTAGCCACCAAGTTATGACCTAGTGAATCAAAAGTGAATGTTCCAGAAACAGTATATATTTCTGTTAAAATAAAACCTTTTGGCAAAGTAAATTCAAGACATTTGAATTGTTGGTATCAGTCAGCACATGAAAACATTTTTATTAATTATTATTATTATTTGTTGTTGAACTAGATGTGATTAACATATTGCTCCTAACGATTTGTTGAACAAAACAGAATCTCTTAAATGGAACAAGATTATTGCAGTGGCTTTTTTTTAAGTATGTGAGCTGCAAATATTGGAGGCTTGTGCAAGAAAAATTAATTTGAGCTTTTAAATCTCTAAGTTTAAATCCATGTTATGGCAAGTATCACAACTTTGGGCCACTTTGCTCCAGATGTGAGCCACATTACCTTCTAAATGGTTATCTGCACAATCATATGTGATCATAAAGCTAGGTAATCACAACATGCAGGGATTGGGTGAAAACTATGATTGAAGATAAGGATCTGATCAAAGTCTAAAGAAATCTTCCCATGTATTTTCTGTCTGAACTCCTATATCTTCAAGACTTAAAGAAAGTCTCTGAAGAATAATTTAATCCTTCACAATGTGGAGGTTTTCAATCTTGTTCTGTAAATGCCCATACAGTACTAACAGAAATGAAAAGTATTCATTTCTGGGTATTTTACAGGGCCCTTCATATTTGAGATGTACAGATAGAATATCCAAATCTACGGTATCATAAAACTATTTCTGAAATTAAAAGATAGACCCTGGAAATTCCATCCTTTACAGGTACGGTAAATAAGGGAAGTGTAGATTAAAACTTGGCCATTTTCTTGAAACACTTAATTGGGCATAAGATTTACAAGCGCTGATAACCACTTTGGGGGGGCCCTTTTGAGGTCCAGGAGGCAGAATATATTTGTATACAAATAAATAAGAGTTTAAAAAGTTTATGGCATTTCTTGCCAACCTCAATATTCAGCAAGTTTCAAATACCCTTGGATTTGTATCACGCTTTCCTTCTACAGAGATAGCATTGCATACCTCACTAAAATAAAATAAAAAAGTTGAAAATAAATGTTTTGTAACAAATTAATTGTCGTCTATCAATGCGTAGTTTAACATCTACCACAACCAGAAGAAAATATAGGCAATTGTTACATACTACTAAATATGCATGCCCTTCAGCTCAAGATGGCATTCTCTTGTTTCCTCAACTGCTGAGTAAGATGACAGTCTAACCAGACTGTGTATAATTTTGGCCAAGTAGGATACGGAAATGTGAATCAAATATGTTCAATAATGTGCACACTAGCCCTCAAAAACAGAAATCTAGTGATGAACAGTACACATTCTACTACCAATTCATTCACCGATTCAAATGAAGGTGACAATGTGGCAATCATTTAATAAGACACATTGTTTCCTTTTGCAGTAAAGCATCAGTCTCTTTTCTCACAGCATTATTCTATACAGTCATACCTCATGTTACAGATGCTTCAGGTTACGTGTTTTCGGGTTGCAGAACGCGGGAAACCCGGAAGTACCGGAATGGGTTACTTCCGGGTTTTGCCGCTCGCGCATGCGCAAAAGCACTTAAAAAGACGTGGCACTTCAGGATGCGAACGCTGCAGGTTGCAGATGTGTCTCTGTCACGGATTATGTCCGCAACCCGAGGTTCCACTGTATTTGAAAGCTACATAGGAGCAACAACCAATGTGACTCCTGAACAAACCCCATTCACTGAAAGATCTTAAGCTAAACTTTCATATTAAGTCTCTTACAGGTTGTTTAACAACAAACATGGCTGCTTCGAAAGAATGGTTCTATTGAAAGCAGTGTTAAATTTCATACCAGAATCTCATAGAATCATAGAATTGTAGAGTTGGAAGGGCCCCCAGGACTATCCTACCCCCTGAAAAGCAGGAAATTTTACAAAATTATATCAGTCATCTAAATTTGCTAAGACCTTATATACATACACCCCATAACATCTCACTACCTTGCATTTCCAGATGCTACCTCTCCCTTCTCTCCCCAAATAACTTCACCCAACACAGGAGATTCATTACAACAGCAGTGATTAGGTACTTGTGCATTGCTAACCCTTTCAGTGATTCCAGTGGACAATAACCCAAACTTCAGAGAAACGGTAAACTTTGCAGAATTGTTTGCAAAAATTGTTTCCTCCACTTCAACTGACATTATATTCAAGACACTTTAAGAAGCTAATTTAGACCATAATATTATGATTGATTGCATGATAATAATCCTATAGATTGTCATACCCTACAATCTGTTAGCATTGTGATCCAGAGAAGATGCAATGCAATGGATGCATCTGAAATAAATGAATAAACCCTTTTTTATTCTTTCCCCAAGGCTTTGGGAGGACAGGTGCTACTTGAAAAGAAAAAAGAATATTGTTGCAACTATGGAAAACTAAATTCTCCCTTTTAGTCCTAGAGTTTCAAGAGGAAAAAAATGTGCGAGGATAAACATCAGTGACAAGGCCTTGCAACTCACTCACACAGTTCTTTATACTAGTAAGCAACAAAGACAATCAGTCACACACTCAAAGGGAAGAATGTCTACCAACATGTCATTAGAACATTAACAAGGACAAAATACTCGCTTAACACTTTGATTCCCTTATCAACAGCAGGGTTCCTATATAAACAGGAAAAGAGTGTTGGAAAAGTCTAACTTTATAAGCTGAGCTAACCTCTAATGGGCTTCCTCAAATGGAAGTGCTGTTTTAGATGAGACAGAAAAAACTCAATTCCTTTGTAATCTTTATTTCTTCACTGGCAGTCAAAAGAAAGCTTAAAAATATTATGCATTTTTGGCGTGCAATTTTTTTTACTGAAGTCTGCTAACAACACACAACACAACACCTTTCCAGTATCAAATTATCTGGCAAACAACAGAAACTGTTTCAATGGACATCTTCCCTGCTGCCCCTTCCAAAACAGGTACATGTATTGATCTTACAGAATACGGAGAAGCATTTCCAGCCAAAACCTGCCATTTATCAAGGAGGGTTCTCACAACTCTAAGCAAAACAAAAACAGAGGAAAACAAATGTATCCACTTCTCTACTCACCACAGACAAGACTGTCATCCCTTCCATTACGTTAGTTAGCTCTTAAAGGCCTGTCTGGACCCTAAACAAACACCAATCGCTTTCCCTAACCTGCTTCCCATATTCTCCACCCACCCATTAAGAATCCTGTGTCAGATTCATAAAATGAGGGTACAGTTTTACCCCAAAAATGAAACATCCCTAAATTCAATTCCCCTCATCTCCACATACCAACCCACCATTTCTTAAAAAGAGGGAAATGGAGAAAGCGTAACTTCCAAAATCTCTTGCTCTCACACTCATCCACGTCAATGCATAAATTACTCTTATCAACCTCTCAGACCACAGCTAAGGGGAACAGTGGAAGAAAATGGGACAAAAAAAGATATCTCTAGGAGACAATGTGAGCGAATTAATAGTCTATGAGAGGGAACATGAATCTGTCAACCAGAAGCCTGCCTGGTTGTAGAAGGAGGGGGTAGATTTTCTTTTGCACACACTCATTCCCCTAAAGTCTCTCTTATTCCATAACTCCTCCCCCTTAAACAAATAATAACCAAGCATGCCTTTTTTGATGTCTTAATACACTGCGAGTCCGGATACGGACAGAAAAAGCAGAAAATAGATATGAAAAACATTTATTCCAATCCCCTGAAAATCAATGGGGAAAGGACCCAGAGATTTGGGAGGGGGAGAGAAGAGAGAAAGAAGAGGGGAGAAAGCAACACAATCTTTTAACGCAGGCACCACAAACCACTTCAGCTATTATTTTATCTTATTATGACCCAAACTTAGCTCTCCAAAAAGTGCCTCTTCCCAATCTTGAAACAGATGCATAACCACCACAAAGTATTATGTCTTATTGTGTGTACGTGTCTGGTGTTTATATATATATAATCATGTAATTTTTATTTGACTATGGCATTAACTTAAGCATGTGTGTCTGTAAAAAAATCCATATATACACGCATGTATATCGGTATATGTACACAGACAATACGTTCAGATATTTGTGTTTTATATACACACACATACACACATTTTGCTTACAGCCATGATCAAATCAGAATATACATAAACATTTCACACACAAGTGCATATACATACTAGGGTATACACACACACACAAATATAGACAAACATGTGCATTTCTGCTTCCCAGACTATATGTGCGTGCATCTTTGCTACCTATTATTTTCATGCAAATACTACAAAAACTTTAATTTCCCCCTTTCACCGCCTAGCCTCATCCTCTCACCCCAAATTGCAACTACTTGAGCTAGACGGGTATACGGAGACACACACACAAACACATGTGTGCATTTTTTTTTTACTGCTCAGAGACTGTATGTGCATTTTAGCTACCAATTATCATCATTGTCATCACACAGATACTACAGAAACTTTTGATTTTCCTCACCTGCTCACCCCAAATTGCAACTGTTTGAGGTAGGAGCGGGGGGGGGGAGATGGTGGCAAAGGAGTTGGGGGGGGGAGAAGCAGAAAGAGGGAGGAACCTTTTCCCTCATTTTCTCTCATATTATGCCCCCCTGAATCCCTTAACTCCATCACCTTCCTAACTTGGGGTAAGGACTTGAGGGGTAAAATATATCGCATCCCCCCCACAACTCCTTGGCCACCTTCTCCTCCAACAGCCCCCCCCCCTTTTGCCGCTCCCCCACCCCATAAATGAGCACCTGCGCCCACCCTCTTCGCTCACCCGTTTGCCTCTTTCCTTCCTCTCTCGCCGCCGCCGCCGCCGCCGCCTCCTTCTTCTTCCTCCGCTGCTCCTGCCGCCGCCTCCCTAACTGACGCTCCTCCGGAGGCACTGACACCGGCGCACGGATATCCACGGGGCGCTATTTTTAGGCAACACGGCCAAGGTGCTGCCGGAACTACTTCCACTCTCCCCCCCACCCCCGCCCACTCCCCTTCAAGCCTCTCTAGGCGGGCAATATACGGGCCGCACACACCCTTCGCTCTCGTCTTCCTCCGCCGCTTGACACAGCCGCCGCCCCGCTTCCCGGGCCGGTTAAGTCAGCGACAGGACCCGCGGGTGCTCGAAAAGCCCGGCGCGCGTCCCTAGGCTCTCTTTGGCTCACTTCTTTTCCTCTCAGAGAGCCGCCGGCCGCGAGGACTATGTTTCGCTTAGCAGTAGGGGAGCGGTTCGGCCTCTTACGTTCTTCACACCGTCAGGACCCCGATGCCACGAGGTGATTGGGCGGAGGGCGGGAGAAAAGGCTGTCAAGGTCCAACCAATGGACGGGGGAAGCTGCCGGCCAATCAGCGAAATGTTAGTAGGCGGATACCTCTGCCTCTGTTTGACAGAGTGGCGGCTCCAATCAGGGCGCGATACACAGGATAACAAATGACCAATCGGAACTGGGAAGCGCCGTGGCGCTGTTCCGAGCGGTCCTTGACAGGGTGTAGAGTGTAAAGAGATGCACGCATGCGCTCGGAGCGTCCTCGCTGGCTTCTTTTTTCCTCCAGGGAGCAAGTGACGCATAGAAGAGGGAGGGGAGCGGAGCGCATGCGCAGATGGAATGATTCCCTCTAGTTTACCTCGGCGAGGATTGGTCGGATTTGGAATAGTCTGAGCTTTCAGCCTCCGTCGCTAGACAAGATCAGTATACGAGACTTTATCCTCCGCGACCCAAAAAAGCAGACGCGCCACGCGCCGCATAATATTTTCACACGCGCGCGAGACACAAGCCTGGAGACACGCGAAATATGCGTTGTGACAGGAGAAGTGTGATTGGTTGAAAATCACGTCAATCACGTCGCTCCTTGCAAGGGGGAAAAACACTTTTCCTCACGCAATTTCTAATGTAATGTAAAAATGTCACTTGTTCTGTTCTCAATAAAACCAGCTTCTTTTTCTACTTCACTTTTAAAGCTCGTGGATAATTTTACCACTAGTTATAGTTTGTTTGGTTCTATAAATTATTTGTTGTTTTTTTAAAAAATCAATTTGTGTTTGTTTGTTTGTTTTTTGAAACCAACACTTTTCACCCAAACAGGACACTTAAGAGAAGAATAAAACTGTTAAGCAACAAATCGTTTTAGGTAAACCGTTTGGATGTGTCCCCGCCCTTATTAAGCAGTATATAGTTCTAATTAAATAAATAAAGCAGTACAGGACTTAATTGTGTGAGGGAGATGCATACTCGCTGCAATCTTTTATTGACCCATTTATGCTCAGAGGTCTGACCCTTAGAGCAATGGTGAGGAACCTATGGGCCCCCAGATATTCTTCAACTACAGTTCCCATCATCCCTTTCCATTAACCTTGGCTGATGGGAGCTGCAATCTAATGACAGAGTCCATAATTTGTTGAAGCTTCCTTAGTGTTACGGCCTGAGTTGTATTGCCTGGGCAATTCCTTAGGCTTTGAGTTTTGGCCTTGAGTTCTAGCAGACTATTTTAGGGGTTCCTCTGAATAAAGTTTCTTGTATTTAAAAAAAACAATTTCTCATTCTTGGTGCCTGTTATTGGATGCAGAAACATTACCAAGTCCAACAACATCTGGAGGGCCACAGATGTGCCTTCCCAGCTTTAGACCAGATTTGCCCAACTTGGGACTGCTCAGCCAGCCCATGACTGCCCTCAGGAAACCTCTATTTTTGTTGCCATCTGGAGAGCGAACCTAGACAACAACGTGGCCGTCATTTTCATGCTCAATCACTGAAATAAAAAGTGGTGTGTGCGTTATTTTTAACAGTAAAATGAGCATGAGATAAAAAGCACTGAACTCTCTGAGCTCCAGCACCTTCACTCCCCAACCATTTTTCTGTTGTCCCAACTCTAATACCAGATAAGCAGTGGCTGAAGCAACAGGATAGGTAATGCAAGGAAGTGGAGAAGTTCTACCCTGAGATATAGGGAATGGTTTACATTAAAAGGTGACTCTTTCAAGCAATGACATCATATGAGATTGTGGGACAGGATTGCAGAGACTGTGCCCCTCCATGGGTTGCTGGACTACAAAAGTAATGATTGTGAGGTTTAACTGTGGATTTGTCCACATTTTAGCTGGATAGCAGCTGTTTGAGAGGGCTCTCACGGATACAGTGCTACTTAAATGGGAAGCTTAAATGGGAAGCACATTAAACGCAGCCTTGTATTCATAACTTTCATAGTCTTCCTATTCCCCCACAACAACAAAAATCCCAAGAATATATGTTTAGAAAAAAATGAATTTCTGTTAACTTTTTAAAAATGCAGGGTTGAACTTTAGTGTTTGCCAAATGGTAAAGCAAATGGGAAATACTGGGCATATTTCACTTACCAAACGCCTTCAGGGTGTCCACTTGTGCACTGGGGCCTTCTCCCTCTCCTCCCACTGTATAGGGGGGTCAGGAGAACCCCTAGAATAGCACACAGGGGGATGGAAGGGGCAGATCTGTAGGTAGAATATTTGTAATAGTGTGACGTTGACTTTCACCCACTGTCTCTAAAATATAATGTGCAAACAGTTTTCAATTCCAGTATGTTTAAAATCCTTGATATTGGTAAAAAGCACTACATATTAACCTTTAACATTATAACTTTTAATACAAGTTGTAGGCCAGGATACTCTCCATGTTTTTCAAATATAAACCCCTATCTCTTTAGATGTTTTGCTCATTCCTTTTAAAAATGGGTGTTAATGTTTCATTTTAAAAGTGAGTAAAACATTTCCAAAACATCTCCTGATTTTTATTAGCTATTTGTGGTTTTGCCCATTAAATATTAGCAATACAAAAGCTTTTGGCTGAAGACTCAGCTGGTGAGGAAAGTCTTGTCACGCTTCCCAACACATGTCATTTCAATTGCTTCAAATACTTTTCTGACACAGAACAGAGTCAAAAGTACATGGGTTATGTGTCGTATTGAAGTTGCCTCCAGCATATGCATGCAAATATTATGCAAATTGGCCATGGCATTTTTTCAAGATGGTGCTCTATCATGGTGAACAAATATAAATCCCAGATTGCAGCCTCGTAGAAAGCTCAGGGTATACAGTCTTGACATGCAGAATATATTCCAAACCTCTTGGTGACCAGAACTATGAATAATGCATTTCCAAACACTGTATAATGTTCAGGTAGTCAGAAATAATCCTAAACTTATACAGTAATGGTGGCTCCATTTCTACCTGCATAGTCTATCTGCTGGCGGCATAGATCTCCTGTTGTTTGGGCCTCTTACTGATGTAGAGTATCTTAGCCGTCTCTGACAACAGGCGCTCCTGGCAATGTTTAAATCAGGGTATTTCCCATTCCTCTCAAATTGGAAGGAGCTCTAGGATTGTCTGAGTCATCCTCAGTGTATTAAAAGCTCAGCTTCAGCTAATGCTTAATGTGGGGTGTGCCCTGACATTGTAAAGGATGTAACAAGTAAGACTTATGCTGCAACATTGCAGCTTGCCTGCTCGCTGCTCCACGTACCCTGGAAGAGACGTTTTGTAGCTCTGTTCAGTTTTTCAAGGTGGGGGAGTTTCAGGAGTGTTAAAGGGAAAAAATGACCTTTTCTCTCCCCACCACTTTGCCAGCCTTCCCTTGTTAGAGTCGCCAGTAAAAGACTAAAAGTAATGTGGGTGGCACTGTGGTCTAAACCACTGAGACTCTTGGCCAATCGGAAGGTCAGTGGTTCAAATCCCCACAACGGAGTGAGCTCCCGTTGCTCTGTCCCAGCTCCTGCCAACCTAGCTGTTCGAAAGCATGCCAGTGCAACTAGATAAATAGGTACCGCTGTGGCGAGAAAGTAAACAGCATTTCCATGCATTTCTGTCCAAGTGTTCCTTTGCGCCAGAAGCGGTTTAGTCATGCTGGCCACATGAGGCGGAAAGCTGTCTGTGGACAAACACTGACTCTCTCAGCCTGAAAGTGAGACGAACGCCGCAACCCTATAGTCGCCTTTGACTGGACTTAACCATCCAGGGGTCCTTTACCTTTACTTAGTATAAAACTATACTCCTTGAGTGGCAAAATTAGTGATTTCCTGGACATCCCAACATTTTCCAGAATACTGCAGCCGCAAGCAGACCTAGCCTGTGTCGGAAGTGTCATTTTTGCCAATTCTCCTCAGAAACAGCTCAAAAACATCTAATTTCTCTGCGATTTTGCTCAACAATTTTATGTCTGAAATTTCACTTTGTGGAATATGGCAACCCTAGGCAAAATGTATAAAGTTTTTGCATGTTAATAAAAAACATACCGTATATGATCTTATCCCTGTGCACATATTCATGCTGTTAATGAATTATTGAAAATGAGAGAGAACCATGTTTAGTGAAATATTTATTGTAGGCATTGCATTCAAATTACAGGTTCAGGAAGTACAGAAAAAAAACAAAAACACTCCCTGACCATTATAGTGTCACTTGCTCAAGCAGCACAGATGCCTTTCTAAACAAGCATTTTCACGCTTATCCAGAAGCACAGAAAGAAATCCTTTTGTTAACAAAAAGCAGATAGATCTGACTCAAGGGATACCCACCCAATGTCATTCCTTGAGTTGTGCTCACAATGCTTATGAACACACCCATTGCCAGAGCATATGGACAGGGGAACAGGAAGGGCTGAGCAGAAGCACTGTGAATCTCTGCATTCCAACACAGAGTGATGCAAGGTTGTTTGGGGATTTTCTCTGTGGACACATCCTAGTTATGGAATTCTCTTTGCCCAACCCACAAGTTGAGGTTTTGTTTAGGCTGAATGTTCTTAACCTGCAGTCCACGGACCCCTGGGGGAGTCTGTGGATGGGCTTCAGGGGGGCCGAGAACTGGGCACAAAACAAATATAACACAATAAAATACACTATGTTCAAAATGTTGTGCTTGTGTTCATTTTTCTGAAGGCTGTCCACAGTTTTCATCAGATTCTTAAGGTGTCCTTGAATCCCCCCAAAAGTTAAGAACCACTGGTTTATGCAGGTTTTCTATTAATCTATAAAAGTTTTTATGCTGTGATTATCTGCCACATTATCCTCTTTTTATTTTATGTTGCTCCTTTTCCATTTCTGATTTTTATTTATCTGCTTATTAGCCACTTTAGGAACCATTAAATAAAAATGCTAAAAGCACAGGTTTGCTTTAGGGATAAAGGCGAAATTATCTCTCTATATTTCTCATTTTAATGAAAAACTACCTAATTTGTGCTTCTTAAACCAATATCTGAACTGTATCATAATTATCCTTCAACAGTCATACTGCACCAAATTTTGCAATG